TTCTTTGGGATTCTGTCTTTCACTGTTAGAATGTACATATGATTAAAGTTATAGATCGTTGCATTCTTTGTAAGTGGGCAAAATCAGCAAGGGGTCAAATACTTATTTCCCCCACTGTACTTTACCTGTGACTTAAGAAATGACAATTTTTTATACTTTCGATCCACTCTGGTTTATTCTCAGGTTTCCAACTAAAGAACCAAACAGGGCACTTCTGTACACCTTCAGTAGAAGCCGATGTCGTTCATGCAGAAGTCGGGCTGCAGGCCCTCGAAGGTGCATGATTAAAGTTATAGATCGTTGCATTCTTTGTAAGTGGGCAAAATCAGCAATGGGTCAAATACTTATTTCCCACACTGTACCTCTCCATGGCCACGCACGCCATGAATCCCACGCTGGCCAGCACGGCGTAGAAGTAGAAGAAGTAGCTCAAGTAGGCGCCAGGGTCTGCCTTCCAGGCGGCCATGCAGCAGAGCTGGAGGAAGTCGGACACCAGCAGGTTGATGACGTAAACCGGGGCCAGGTGGTCTTTTCTGACCTGCAGGGAAACAAGCAAGGGGGGGGGAAACCAGCTTCAAAAGCCGCTCCACAAGTCTGCTGCTCTCTGTGGAGGGAGCTGCTTCACTCTGGACACAACCAGACCTGGACACAAAAAGACCTTCACATCTAGACTTTCATATCCAGACCTTCACAACTAGACCTTTACAGCCAGACATTTACATCCAGACTTTCACATCCAGACCTTCACATCAGAGCAGGACACAAAAAGACCTTCACATCCAGACCTTCACAACAGAGATGGACACAACCAGACCTTCACATCCAGACATTCATATCCAGATTTCCACATCCAGACCTTCACAACAAGACCTTCACATCCAGACCTCCATAAAAAGACCCTCACAACCACACCTTCAGATCCAGACCTTCACATCCAGACCTTCACATCCAGACCTTCACAACCAGACCTCCACAACAAGACCTTCATATCTAGACTTTCACATCCAGACCTTCACATCAGAGCAGGACACAAAAAGACCTTCACAACCAGACCTTCACAACAAGACCTTCAAAACAAGACCTTCAATTCCAGACCTTCACATCCAGACCTTCACAACAGAGCTGGACACAACTAGACCTCCATATCCAGACCTTCACAACCAGACGTTTACAGCTAGACCTTCACAGCCAGACCTCCACATCCAGACCTTCACATCCAGACCTTCACAGCCAGACCTTCACATCCAGACCTCCACATCCAGACCTTCAATTCCAGACCTTCACAGTCAGACCTTCACATCCAGACCTACACAACAGAGCTGGACACAACTAGACCTTTACAGCCTGACTTTCAAGCCAGACCTCCACAACCAGACCTTTAAATCCAGTCCTTCACATCAGAGCAGGACACAACTAGACCTTCATATCCAGAGCTTCACACCCAGACCTTCACAACAAGACTTTCAGTTTCAGACCTTCATAATCAGACCTTCACAGCCAAACCTTCAGAACTAGACCTTCACAACCAGACCTTCACATCCAGACCTCCACATCCAGACCTTCATAGCCAGACCTTCACACCCAGACCTTCACATCCAGACCTCCACATCCAGACCTTCACATCCAGACCTGCACAACTAGACCTTCACATCCAGACCTCCACAACCAGACCTTTATATCCAGTCCTTCACATCCAGACCTCCACATCCAGACCTTCACATCCAGACCTTCATATCAGAGCAGGACACAACTAGACCTTCACATCCAGACCTTCACATCCAGACTTTCACATCCAGACCTTCACATCCAGACCTTCACATCCAGACCTTCAC